AGGAGTCACAAGACAGCTGATGCGTTTGTCTTGAGAGATCTGAAAGAAGAAGATGCTGGAAACTACATTTGTGTGGCTACAAGTGCAGGAGTGTTCCATATCGAGACAATAAGTGATGTTGAAGTTAGAAAACCGCGAGGTAAGTTATGAATATAGTGTCCCATTTGTCACAAAGAGAGAGCAAGGCTGACTCAAATTCCTGCTGTCTGAGTGTGGCTACAACTGCAGGAATGTTTGATAGCGAAACAATAAGCTATATTGAAGTTAGAAAAGTGAGAGGTAGGTTTTGAATAGAGTGACACCCTTTGTCACAAAGAGAGAGTAAGTCTGCACTTAAATTCCTGCGGTCGGACATGTCTTTCTTTTTCCCTATGCACAAGCGATGCCGTATTTTGGAGACGAGAGAAGTGTAGTGAGAAACACGAGTCGATAGGTCGATAGGATAGTGCTCTCATCACTTCCTTGAAAGCTTTATAACAGAAGAAAGAATTCCTAGAATAGAAACACACACCAATTGAGATCTTCTTGCTAATTTTGTGTCAGAACTGTACGTTTTAATCGACAAAATTGATCTTTTGTTGTGCTTAAAAAGCAAGATCTGTAACAATTTAAAGCTGCACGCGGAAAAACGCTGGATGATAAAGTAAGCAATCGTCGTAACTTGAAAGCTACGTGCTTTGTATCCTCATAAGTTTGATAGACCATAGTCCATATTTAGGCGAGCCAGAATACTCAAGACGAGATCAAACGAGCCTGGTATTTATACCTACCTATTTATAGGTATTTATGGTTATTTCGGGTATTTTGGCTAGACTACATCTCGCCGAAATAAGAACCATGGCTCGACCAAACTCGCCTGATATGCCGCCGAAGCCTACAAACGGTACAGTTGGGTATTCACCGAGCCCAAATTCAGCCAAAAATCCGGCCATACCAGGTAAGTGACTTGGTGTGGCAGGATATCAAAACAGAAAACACTGCTTACGATTGACTAATTGCAAATTTGAGTATGTTAATTAGATTATTGAATAATTAGTATAGCTAATCATACGGTTTTGAGTTCAATTTGGAATTAATTTGCACGAGTGAGCTTTTTTAAAAACTCATAAGTGCTAATTAATTCCAAATTGAATGAGAAAAACCGTATGATTACTTATTAATAATATAAACATGAAAAAAAATTCGCGTGGAGGAAATGCTGGAAGATCTTTCTTGAAGCCATTTTTTTTCATTCAAGAAAACTTTTTTCAAAGTTTCTGCACTAAATTTTCGTCATCATTTGACGTGATATCATTGGCTTAGAAAATTTCCTATATTCTTTCAGCCAATCATAATCCAAAATTACGATGTGTAATTTGCACTGGTGTTACACTTTTTGCACTGATGTTACACGTTTTTGCACTGGTGTTACACTTGAGCTGCACTGCTCTCAGCCAATCAGAATCGAGTAATTTTTTCATGTATATTATTAATAATATAATACTACGTTTTTGAAAGTGTCATGTCAATTGGCAGTTTCCCGTTGAGTGAGGACACTTAAAAAAACAGTAATCTAAAATTACAAATCTAAATTTACTTCTCCCGTTTCTGAGGGCTAAAAATCAATATAGATATGACATTTCTCTAGTGCCAATGACACATTTTTGATTCTGTTTATTTCCAAACCAGCCTCACGAACTTTAATCCACAATAGAAAGCTAACAGTAAGAACTTATGGTTATTATGAGACCTTAATTTCGTAACAATTTTGTTTGTCACAATTTTTTAAGACAAGATTGCTTCAACTAATCTTTAGGGAACTCTCCACAAAACTTATAATTTGCAAGATAACTGAAAAAGTTTAATAGTGACTTACTACATTCTTTTTTGTCAGATTGTTCAGATCTGCTAAAATCAGGCCATACTCAGAGTGGAGTGTACTCTATCAACCCAGAAGGTACAGGACACTTCAGTGTCTACTGTGACATGCGCACTGACGGTGGAGGCTGGACCGTGTTTCAGCGAA